ATTGATAACTGATGGATGAGGGAATGAGGCATAGAGAAACCAGGAACTCGCCCAAGATTACAAAGCTATTGAAGAGTACAAGCACAATTTGAATTCAGACAGTGCAACTCCAGATCCTCCAATTTAAACTGGTAAACTGGTATGCCAGTGTGCCATCCTTCAAGCCCATCCCTCTTTTTTATTAGTGTGTGTCTGCAAAACATAATACCATTTCTTGGGGAGAAGTGGTCACATATCTAACATATCCTGATCATTTTTGATCCCTTAAACCCAGGCCACAGCCTCTTACACAATACATTGGAAGAGTTGATAAGAGAAAATTATCCCCCACCCCACTGCTTCCAGATAGACCTTAAGAGTATTAAAAGACAACAGAAGACTAAAACCAAACTTTAAGAAGAAGGTAGAAAGCAAAGAGCCCAGGTATTTCTGAGCTCAAAGGGCTAAAAGTCTAAATGTTATCCGTTTCTTATGTTCTGTCTCTTTCCTGCTTGAAGTCAGCCTTCCAGGTCACTGTCATCCAGAGATGTTCTGAAGCTCCACAGTCAGAGAGCAAAGTGAAAAATGAATCAACTGTGGGCTCTAGAGTCAAGCCAGGCTGACTACACAGTGGGGGCCAATCCAAAAAAGCTGACTGAACCCTATTTTAAAATATTTTCTTTAATTATTGTGTCTATCAGTGGGGGAGACTGTGCTATTTAAAACCCAAGTTCACTATATGCAGCCATTTTACCACCCAGGGTCAATTTTTATTACTGAAAAATAGATCTCTACCATGTTGCTTCCCTTCGCAGAGGCTGGTCAAGGAAAGAGTAAGCAAAGACAGAAATGGCAAAGCCTCTACATTCTTCTGTGCTGCTCAAGGTGAGCTTGAAAGCTGGCGATGCGTAGGCCTGAGCTGGCCTGTGGAACTGTTTTGTTTGGCCTGCATGGTGTCAGCCTGCACAGTGGTTTCTTTCCCCTCAGTGTTTTAAATTGGAAATAGTTGCCAACATAGAAAAAAACAAGCAAGTATCCCTTGACAGATGTATTGCAAATAAGTTCTACTGTTCTGCAGCTTGCCAAAATTCTTAGTCATGAATTCTGATAAATAAAAGTTCTTACTTTAATGAAATCTAATTCATCAATCTCTTTATGTTTAGAGCTTTGTGTGCCATTTTAAAAACACTTTATGAAATTCATGAAGATATTATCCTATGCTTTCTTCTAGATGCTTTGTTTTACCTTTCATATTCAGATCTATGATACATATTGAATTAATTTTTGTGCATGGTAGGGATTCCAGGTTCATTTTTTCCCATATGGATATCCAATTGCACCAGCGCCATTTATTGAAAAGGTCACCTATTATTACCATTTAATTATGAAGGGTTTTTTAAAGCTATAAATCAAGGTTATATGTGTGTGTGTGTGTGTGTGTGTGTGTGTGTGTGTGTGTGTATACACTTTGGGGCTCTCCATTCTGTATTGTTAATCGATCATTTGCAACAATATATACTGCACTCCTAATTGCTATAGCTTGATAATAAGCCTTGAAATATACTAGTGTAAATCCTCCAATTTTGTCCTTCAACATGTTTGATAATCCACTGGGCTCAATAACCTAAAATCAGTTCATGTATGTTACAAGACAAGAAAAAGGGAAATAGCACACCAGGAACTTGCTGGAGGTGAGGGAGATGAGATATTGAAGAGATTCAATATCTCCCAAAGAATTAAAAATTGAGCAGCACAGAAACCTACACGTAATAGCACAGATAAGGTGGGAAGGCTCCAGTTTGCCTCAGTGCCAACCATCCTGTTTTTCCTGCCACTGAAGCTTAGGGGCCAGGGCTCCTCTCATCTTACTCCAGGCTCACTTCCCTCATTAATATCACTGCCTGCATACTGGTGGTACGTGAACTGATTGGCTGATTTACCAGATCCTTTCCATGTAGCTGGAGGCTAACTAGTTCTAGCTAATGAGGAAAATGGAAAGAAGACCAAGAGGGCTCTTACAGAGCAGGATTCCTCAACTTCAGCTTTACTAATATTTGGGACCAGATCATGCTTTGTTACAGAGGACTATCCTGTTGTTTGTGGGAGGTTAGCAACATCCCTGGCCTCTACCCACTAGATGTCAGATGCATTTCTCAGCTGCGACAACCCCACAGTCTCCAGACATGTCCACATGTTCCCTACATGGAAGAGACAGAATGGCACCCTGTTGAGAACTACTGGCCTAGACCTATAACAGAAACAGAAATAGTAGAAGAGAACTGCTGCAGGGGTGATGTCAAACACTTGGAGAGAGAAAGAAGGCCCTTTGCAGCATGGAGCTCTAAAGAAGGTAAAGAGACGAGCTGGATCACAAAATCCAAGGGGCCGTTGTCATGCAATATGAACAATATCCCCTGGAGCTGTGTAATGTGGTAAGCCTGGACATAAATGATATGAAAACTATTCTCCCTACTCTACCAGTTATGCCTCTTTTCCATTACACCACAACCCCACACACTTTAGTAAATAATATATTTTCAAGTAAAATAGATGGTGAAACAATCAAACCAATTCCTAGAAAACATATTGGAGCTAGGCGAGACAAGGGATAAAACCATCAGTCTCCACTATGACCTCTGTCTTTCAGAAGCTCCAGGAAGACTGGGGTCCAGGCTGTTATCACACATGGGTTGAGGTTCAAGCCAATTTCATTTGAATTTCAAAGAAACTGCATCACAAATCTCTGTATCTATACTGAACTCACATTGTTTGCCTTGATTCTATTCCCCATGCATAGTCTCTCCTCTCCTTGGCTTTCCTTCAGTGTTGTCATTTTGACTAGCAAATGAATGGAGGCTTGTGCTTTGTTCTGTAGACTTGTATCAAGGAGAGAAATCCTGTACTCTATCTCAGGTACAAGAACAAGGGTGGGTTCTCCGTAGAAAATTTTAAAACAATTTAAAAAACAATGAAATTCAGCTTTTATTGATTGCCATGCACCAGTAATTCTAAACCATGTGTATGATAACACATTCTTCTTTCCCCAAAATATTTTGCTGCTCTGTGTTCTAAACAATTATGGTGGTTATTATTACATTAAATATTTATAAATTATTTAGGCCTTCTGCTGATGATGTTATTCTCACCGGTGAATCTTGACATTTTTGCCGAGTTTCTGTGCCAATCCCTTTTGCCCAATCTGCTAAGAAGATTTCAGGGAAAATAAAGGAAAGTATATTTTCCTTCCAGCATTACAATCTATTGTCTAAAAATAAAGGCTCTTTGCATTTTGTATTGGAAAAAAAAAATTCAATGATGGAAATGTCATTCAGATGCCTGCAAATACTCTTGTTTCTGTTTCCAGAACACCCTATATTTAAGAACAATATGTAGGGACTCTGATGCTGGCATTTGCCATGCACATGTCCCATTTGGGGCCTTTTCCCCTGCAGACTTTGGGGTTTGTCAGAATTGCAGATGCATTAAGAAGCACTCTTATTCAAAAAGAACCATATATTTCAGCTTCACTCCCAAATGCTTTTGTTTCTATACTTTGGCTTGTGGCCAAACCAGAGCCCTGTACCTCTCAAACATCTTAGGGTCCCTGATATCACCCCCAAAAAGGAGTTGAGGATAGAAAATGTCTCTTATCTTCCCACAGGACTCCGGCCCACAAAGGTTTGGTCTCTTGTATCCTGGGCTTTGGTCCTTTGTCCAAGTAAACCAGAGTATGTATAACAAATCAAACTACCAGGTTTGATCCACATTAGAAACACTAGTTTATGATTTTCCAGTGAAACATTTATTTTCTAAGGAGTAGAAAAAATGAGAGAAAAAAAGCATTGTTTGAGTACCAGTGACGTAAGCAACTCCATGCATTTATTCTTAAATCTTGAAAACAACCTTAATCTCGAGGTAGTTAATGCATTCTCATGCAGAGCATTCCCACTGCCCTTCCTCTTGTTTTTGGTTAGATGCCCCTCCTATGTGTTTTCACTGCAACCTGCTTTGTGTCTTCTGGAAGATACTGTAGTGATCAAACCTTTTTCTTCCTAAGCTCACAGCCAGACTACATTTCCCAGTCTCCTTTTTGGTTGTTATTGTATGACTGAGCTCCAGAAAATGAAGTATGTATAGAAGTGATATCTTTTATGTCTGTGAAAGGTAATCTTACCTTCTCCAGTTTCTTTTTTTTTCTCCAGGCACTGGATAGGACAAAACACCCTAACCATACAGGATTATGAAGCCACACATGAAAGAATGAAGCCCAAGTCCCTGAATAACTGCAAGGAAATGAACAATTATGAACATCAACCCTTGATGGTGAGGTAAAGAGATTCACTGAAGTCTTAAATTTGTTTATACAGCATCTACCTATCCTAAAACATAATAGCACCTATCCCACTCTGTACTGCACCTCGACTGTAGGTCTCTACTCTATGAGTTGTGAGGTCCTTGAGGGAAGGAAGTAACATATCACTTTAAATATCTATGCAAGCAAGATCAGGGAATGGATTAAAGAAAACTCATGGATGGACACTGTGACACAGCAGAAAACCTATATAATAGGAGACTGATGTCTCCTAAAATTATTCAAATTTTAAAGGTCAGAAACTACAACTGGGTTGCAAGCCTACTTCATCAGAAATTTCAGCCAAATTCCTGCTCATGTTTATCATTCTCACTCCAGCTGAGGATGCCATGATGGAAACATTCTTGAATAAAAAGAATGCTGAAAAGATAAAGTAACTAACATGGCCCTGCATTAGGCCAAGTTTACAATTCAGTGGACCTTCAAAATGTACTTAATTAGCCATGATATCCCTTGATAACCAGGTGTTTACTGTGTACAGACAGTTAATAACCTGTCTCAGATCATCAGGACATGAAAATAACCAACTCTTAGATATTTATTTTACTGGGAAGATCCCCAACCCCTCTTCACATCACCCACATTAAGTGTATGTGAGGCCATATGTAAATCACAAAATATTGACACCAAGACACAAGAGCCATTTAGTTATCATACATTTATTTTTAACATAGCACCCCAGTTTCACATCATGTAAATTTTCCAAAGGTTGAGATCCTTAATTTACTATTTTCTTCACAGATTTTTCAACAAGTGTGAAAAAGAGGCAGTAAAGTTAGCTTGAGCCTACAAGTCACAATGTAAATATGGGACACTCTTACGGATTTATGTTCAAGGTCAACATACATAATGCTCCTAATGCTTAGCAAACAAATGCAACTCCAGCTGAGAAAAATACTAACACAACTCGGTAGTACAGAATCATGAAAAGACAGAAGGCATCAAATATAAACTTTGCTGTTACACATTTTACTGTTCAATGTACTGTAGTGAAAAAATATACATATTTACTTTCAAGGTTAAAATAGACCATCAGTCATTATCTCTCTTGGCCAATAGCTATGAAGACTAAAATGGCTCTTGTTGCCTCTGGCTCACTTAAATATCGTATTGTGCTGAAGACGAAAAGGATGGCAGTGCTAACAAAGAGGTTATACCTGGCTCTCAAGATGTGTGAATTTGAAACTGTCACATAAGTTGACCTAAAACAAAAATAACACAACTTAGTTGATCCAACCTGCATATGACATGGTTGTTGGGTTCCATATCAGGGCCAAGCTCCCTGAATGAGTTTATGACCTAGTCCTGTTATTCAACACAGTGCCTGAGGATGGAAGTGGCACTTGAAGTTTCCTTACTGTAGTTCCCAAATTCCAGTTCAAGCTCTCTTAAAGTTTGATATCCTCTGGTCTTCAGAGTTGTAAGCCTACTTTCTCCAACCTCCACAACCATGAAATAGCTTGAAGCAAGATCGGAGAATTCATGATATAAAAAATAAGCACTCCCCAATTATTGACAGCAAAGCAAGGCTTCTGTAACCCAGAACAAGCCCTGGCGATTCCAACCCTACAGTGCTCCCTAGAAAAGATTCCTTTACCATCCCGTGTGTTAGTAAACATGCAAAATGACTATTATACAAGCCTAAAAGCAACTGTGCACTTGGGCTGTCTTGCTAATACTAACACATTCGTTTAAAAAAACCACTAAAATATTGGCTACTTCCGTTCTTATTTGTAAGACAGTCTTCAAAAGTGATCACAGGTGGGCAGCAGCTCTTAGAATGGGCTTGCATTGCTTTTAAAGTCTGTCCCTCTGCTGTCTGCTGCTGCCAGGGTTGCTCTTGGAAGACTCATATAACTAGATGCACTTCTCCTCAGAAACAAGCAAAGGTGATGGCCCATAGAGTAACAGTCATTCAAATTGCTATCAGTGTCTGATCTGGCCATATTGATGGGTAGTCTCCTTTTGCCTCAACTGAGGAGAAGCAAGCTATACAAACTGAGCACTCCCAAAACCCAAATCCCCATTTTTACTAGGAATTTGAACTATGATGAGTTATAATGTAAAAAAGGAAATGAAGTATAAATTTAACTGATCCTTTGAAATCAGTTTTAAAGGAACATACCTGAAACAGTAAACCAGCCAAACAGAGAAACTTAAATTATCAGTGTTCTGTTTGACTCTATAGAGGGGAAATGACCTCTTAACTGCAATATCATTTTGTTCACATTAACAATGCTTAAACCACAACCTAATGAGCCTACTTGTCAATAATATGGGAAGAACTGCTTGTTATGAGATGTTAAATTTTTGTTTTTATATTTTTAAAATCATATTACCTTGATGATGCCTAGTTAGAAGGTGTGATTCTAGTTTGTGTTGAACAAATGTTTGTTAGCTCAAAGGTGTTAACACTGTAATTGAGATCTTCCCAACTACTGCTTAGAAGATATTTGCAAATATCTATCTTAACAGCAAGAAACATATCTATTGCAAATATTACCTTATTGACCTTTGATTACACATCTATTGTTACTGTGGTTATGAGATCATTTAAGAAACAGACAAACATCTAGAAACAGACTGTACAATCACATATAAAGAAGAAATGTTTTATGATAGTTCAGATTTTGGTAGGAAATCAAAGGAAAATCCATGTTTTTTATTACTCTCCCTAAAATATGCTGAAATTGAACATTTGTGACCCAAGTAACTAAAGATATATTGAAGAAAACTATAACTTACTACATATTGAGTTCATTTCAATCACAGTAGTCTATTTTAAAAACAACCTCCCATAAGGAATATGGGAATGGAATCCATTCAAAGTAACAGCTGTCAAAAGTTCTGCCAAGAAATTCAGAATAACTTATTGCATCATGAAAGGTGAGGTGTTCAGAAGAACAAATAGTTCAATAATATGCTTTCCCTTCAGATTTTGCTTTTAAAACCAAGAGAAATTTCTAGATCTAAAACTTAAAGCACACTTTTATATTTAAAGAGTAATTAGTTAAGTCAATAAAACTCAACAAAGTAAACAGAAAGAAAGCCTTCTAATCTATTTTGAGTGTTGACAGAGGAGAGAGGGCCCAACTGGGAACCATAAACTCAGGCTGGTCACCTAACTCTATCATTAGCTACCCCTCTGCATGGACTGTTGAGCCAGGAACTGCTGATTCTTTGGACCTCAGTTTTGCCACATATGAACTACGGGAGATGAGCACCAGGCCTGCCCAGCCCTGACATACTCTTCTTCCTTGATAAAGAGAGAGGCACAGCCTCCAACTAAGCTGACTCCTCCTTCTATTAGCCCCAAACATCTACCTACTATTTTAAAAGCTATTAGGTCCTTCAAACTAAGGCAAATATGTGCCGTGAACACAACACACATATCCATTCCAGATGTCTACTACTTGATTTTGCTTTATGTCTGTCAAAGAGGTGACAAAAGCAATATGCCACATGCAGGAGGTGCTAAGGGACCCAATACGTCCTCTATTGGCTCCCACTATGTTTTTGTCTGTGCGACTGCAGGATCTCTATAGGAGAAGACCAATGAACAAGGCAATTAAATCCCCATAAATGAGGATAACATTAACTTTCTATTTGTAGAATTCTACTAAAAAGTAAGTCTAATTTTGAAGCCATTTTATTAGAGAGGTATAATGGTGATTTCAATAAGCCAGCCTTCTTATAAATCACATTAAAGACTCACAAACATTTTCAGATATTATAACCCTAAATTAAAAGTACATATTCTAAGAAAACATAAATTGAGGATGGACAATAGTAAGATAATAATAAGAGTAGCATGTATAAGTCTTTCTATATAGACACAAACAAATACTTAATTTTTTCAAAAACAACTACTTCTAAGCAACTAATAAAACCATGGACAAAATTAAGTCCAGGTAAAAAGGCTGGGTGTACATTTACTGGTGTGTGCTTTAACGCAATGCCTATCTTAATATACTGAGCTGAGAATGTGGCTCAGTGGTAGAGCACTTGCCTAGAATGCAGGAAGCCCTGGGTTTGATCAGAGCATATACATAACAAAGACTATGAATCTTGGAGAGTTTGATTGTCCAATGCAAGTTTTCTCCATTAATGAAACCCAAGCCAACTAAACAAAACCCCAGCCTCCTTATTTGGCTCTTTTTGTCATTGACTTCATAGGGGAAGACAGCATGTCAGTATTTTTTAAATGCATAGTTTAGACTAACATTCCTTCGTTTATATGTCTGGCTGGTGGATATGAAGTGCTATCATGAGTGAGCGCATATGTACTGGAAGATTATGAGATAAAGTGCATTCGCTAGTTCTTCCTGGATGGAATGCACCAAAAGCCAAACATGCCATGAAACATCTGCAATAAGAACAATGACAACATTTGTTGACAAGATTTGTTGCAGCTCCCTAATCTCGATGTAGAGGAAAAAAGTCACCCCAAAATTTGCACTGACCTATTCATAATCTTAGGAAGGGTTTAAAACTCACTACCAACCCTTCCTCATAAGAACAAAAAAAGGCAGCCAAAGGGGAAGAAAGGGAAATAGAGAAGTAGTTCAAGTTTCATGATTTTCAAAATCAAATCAATTCAAAATACTTAAACATGCATGGAACAGATTCAACAATTTGTTTTTCTTTGGGCAAACATCATCTGTTTGAGCCTTTCTCTGTTGCTGTTAAGCTATGGAGAAAGCTTGCCAGTGGAACTAGGAAGCATTAAATGAATGCCTACTTTTCCTAAAAGCTCCAGCTCTACTTAAACCAGCAGCTTAATCACATGTATTCCAAACTTATCCCAAACTACGTCAAAAAGGACTGGCACTCCCTATCCCATTATCCAGAGTTGGCACATCAGTAAAATGCATAAAAGACAGTATGTCCTTCTGTAAGTCTCTCAAAGCAATATTAAAGCAATGCTAAAGTTGGCATGCCCTATGAGGATCAGTGATTCTCACTTTCAGCTTGGGCATTCAGGTGAAGCAGTAGCTACCTAAAGTTCTAAAGGATACTGACTTCCACAATTAGAGCTTTTTTACATCACCTGTACTGGAGTTGACTGAGCTCCTCTGAGCTCTATACAAGCCAATTACTTCCCAAGGGTACACTTCACAGAGAACAAAATAGTCATATGTCCAATATGAGCCTCATTTTCTTTTGTTATTTCTCTATACCCAATACATTCTCAATTCAGATTAAAATAAAGGCAAAACTACGAGAGGTTTTTTTTTTGATTGTTGGCAACCAATTTCCCTTTCCTCCCCAATCTAGATACATGGGTTCACACAACAAATATTTATCAATCCAGCTTTTCATATTTGATGGGTGGTTTCCAAACTCATGCATTTACAGATACTTTATCCCATGCAGTATAAAAGTAGAGATCTGGCAACTATTGATTTCATTTGATCAAGCAAGGCAGATAAAGTAAATTGTTCTTGCCCAAAATTTACATGAAAGCACTGAATTATCTAGGTTGATGGCATAGATTGGCCAAGTTAAATAGCTCATTGCCAAAATCTCTACTTTACAGTGTGGAAAGACCCAATACGCCTTTGACATTCAATAGAAAACAATAGTCATGTATTATTTATAGCTAGATATAATATCAAAATGGCACTAGAGAAGCAGTTTTTGGCATATAGTGGTACAGGGCACAATGCCAGTCTAAATCTGATGCTTTCATTTTATTTTAGCTTTTGTTTTTATTATCATCATGCCAAAGACTATCCAGTTGGAATCCCAAATATTCAGGAAAGCAACCTACTGTATGTGACATACATATAAAAATAAAACAAGCATCCTGAATGTACTTGGTTATAAGGTTTTATACAAATCATAAATTCTTCAAATAAATAATGTTCTAAATTAGTTTCTAGAAGGATGATTTTTGATAAGGAACAGCATCTAATACCTTGATGAAGTACTTAAGAAATGGGAGACAAAAGTCCATTGATAATCACAATTTCAGGTATGATAATCACTTGAAGTATTTTTCCCACAACAATAAAATACACAAGTGAACTGCAAGAGAAAATGTATGGATTATACTCTGCTGCTCATAGCTTTTGACATAGTCAAATATCTATGACAAGTAGTTAGGCTCAAATATTCAAAGGAAAGTTCTTGGCAGACAAGGTCATGCACTGTCACTTGAACCTTGGGACTCACAACACAGTGACTGGACGAAGTTGTTCCAACTGGTTTTCCAGTGCAATCCGTTCTTGATGAACTTCCTGAATTATAAAAAAACAGGGAAAAGGAAAACAAAAGCAAAGAGTTATTTTCTAGGTTCATACCTAGTTCATGAGATAATCAAAGGAAACTTGTAACTTGACCTAAGACATTTAAGTGTTATGTAACATAAGAATAGGTGGATGGATGGCACCACACTGAAAGTTGCTGGTTACATGAAGGGATCCTCACAATCTGTAGTCTCTCAACTCCGTTCGAAGGGGAGGAATGAAACTGAGAAGCCTTCCTCTGTACCCTACCTTAGTCTCACCTTGTTTTAATGGGATCAACAGCTGGCAGAGAATGATATTGAAAATTACAAGACTGACTGGGAAAGATTAGAAGCAAAAGCAGATTCCTGGTTCTGAGGCATGAGCCACTCAGACTGAATTTCTACTTGCAATCACTGGCTTTGTATCCAGCACCATTCTTAGGAAGGTCTGAGTGATAAATACACTTGTCCACCCTCCACCCAAGTCCTGTACAGGCTCCTGCACAAAATACAGCATTATGTGTGACCTCTAGGTGAAAAAAGGCTGAAAGAGGGGAGCAGCAATGTATTTGGAAAATTAAACTTTCAGACCTAAAACAGATATTTTTTGCAGAGAAATGGGACTCATAAGAGGATGTCTAAGTAGAGCTAATCCAGGTGGCAAAGATGCTGTATAAATTGCTGCAAAGTTGAAATTCTGTAATGTTCCATGTTATGGTTTGTGTCTAGTTGTCCTCCCAAAGCCTTGTGCAGTCATGGGGCAGACTTCTATCTAGAGTTTGCGATCATGAAATCCAATGCTGGGAATATGGGTGTAAGTGCTGCTAGGATTATGGATGTGGGTCCTATACCTAGCCTGAAGCAAATAGCCTGAATGTAACATGAGGGAGACAGACTTGCTCTCTGTTGCCACTACTGCTGCTGCTCCTCCCTCTTGCCTTTGCTCTTTGCTGTTTTCTGTTGCCTTGAACTGCTGCCCTTTGCCATGTGGCACTCTGCCTTGGAACCAGCCAAGTATGGACTGAAACCTCCACAAACTGTGAGCTAAATAAACCTTTCCTTCTTTAATTTTGGGTGTTGGGTATTTTGTTCCAGGAATGAAAGGAAAGTAACTAAGACATGCCACAAGCACCAACACGCTAGTAGACAGTAGAAAACTGAAAAAGTATTTGTTAACCCACCCCCTACCCACCCATCCAACAGTCTTTTAGTATCTACTAAGGGCCAGACAACACTCTAGCCATGACAGTATTAGCAGAGAAGAAGATAGAGTCAACCAGTGATGGGGAACCTTTTACAATTTTCAATGATACAAAGAAGCCCATTACAGCATGCACACCATAGATTCGCAACCACTGGAGTAAACCAATCCCCTCATAGGGCTTATATCCATTGGCTAGAGAAAGACAATAATTGTACAACCATTAATGGAAATAAGTATGAAGATTTCTCAAAAGACTAAAATTAGAACTTCCTTTCAACATGGATACTTACCTTCTGGGTTTCTTCCCAAAAGAGTTACAGCTATCACATCACAGTGATAACGTATACCAGTGTTTATAGCACGACAATTCATTAACAACTAAATCTTCAAAGTGGGCTACCAGCCTATTGACAGATGAATGGATAGAGAAAATGTAGTATGTACACAAAATAGAGTACTACTCTGCCACGAAGAACAACCCGAGTCATTTGTAGGAAAATGGTTGTGCCTTAAGACCATGATGCTAAATGAAATAAATGTTACACAGGAGCTTAAATATTGCATGGTTTCTCTTCTTTGAGAAACTCAAAATATAAATAAAGAGCAAAATAAAATATAATGGAAAAAAGGGAGATAGGACTTTTGCAAAAGGGACAGAAACCAAGAGATAGGGGGAGGATTAAAACAGATGTACATGGACCATCTCCACAAGAACAATGTAATCATTAGGTACTGCAAACACTGCTGATAAAAGAAAAAAAAGTGAAAATAACAGATTAAAATGTACCTCCAGAAGGAAATAAATACAGATAATGTAATCGAGTATTGGGGGTGGGAGGAAGCAGAGGTGACAAGGGACGTCATCTCAGAGATGATGCTATTGGAGCAAAGCCTGTAAAGAGATGATCAGGGAGACCAAATGGTAACTGCAAAGGCTCTGCAGGATGGCATGTGCATGATGAATTACCTAAACAAAATGGCCTATGTGACCAGAGCAGAGGAAGCAAGAAAGACATTGGCAAGAGATGAAATCAGAGACTTAGACAGCAGCCATATCTTATAGGGCTTTGTGGGAGGAGGCAGGACTGTGGCCTGTGATGAATATATGGGGTGGGGCACTGAAGGTTTTTTGTTTTGTTTTGTTTTTCTTTCCTTATTTTATTTTATTTTTAATTTAAAATTATACATTTTATTTATCCATTTAAAATTTACAAGGTTAATCTTTTATTCCTTTTTAATTACATCATTCATTTTTAGTAGGACAATTACAATAATTAATTCATTGCATATTGTTGTCTTTGTAGTAGTTATTCATAGTACAAGATGCAGACATGATATCTTGCCTAAACACTATTAGTTCAAAACTTGAAGGTTTTGAACCAGGAGAAGGACCTGTACTGTACAATTCAGAATGCTCCCTCATGCTACAGTGTGGGCTACAGCATGGGCAGCAGCATCACGACAATGCAGGAGCAGAAGCAGTGGCACCACTGGAAAGTAACATGGACCCAGGTGGGAAATGAAAATGACTTCAATCAGGACAGCAGCCATAAAGACAAAGAGAAGTGGAGGAATTCTAGGTAGCTCTCAAATCTAGTACTGAATATACTTGTTAATGAAGTCGAGGCCAGACAGAAGGAAAATTTAAGGAAGACTCCAATGATCTTTTAGGCTGATATCTTTATTTTTTCTGATCAGAGTTTACTAGTACACTTTAGATAGACATAATGGTCACATTCATCTTAAAGAATTTGTAGCCATACATGACATAACTTGTTTATTTTTTCTATTCCTTTATACTTGAAGGGATTCCAATGACTTTGCATTTAAGAAATTAGTTGAGGACAAGCCTGCATAAGAAATGGGCCTTTCAAGGAGAGGGATGAAAATGATGAGTCTGAGATTTTTATTATTAAATATACAAAGCAAAAGAGTTGAGTAAGAAATTGAATATGTATTCTTAGGGGAAAGACATAAATGTACCTTTCATGCTGGGAGTGGTGGTACATACTTGTAATTCCAGCACTTGGGAGGCTGAGGCAGAAAGAACTCAAAGCCAGCCTGGGTTACACAGTGAATTTAAAGTGAGCCTGAACTACACAGGGAGACCATGTCTCAAAAAACAAAAAAATTAAAAATTAAATGTAGGTTTCACTGCCCTGTGGATGGTCTTCATTTACAAGGAAATGTTACCTACTGAGACAGCACATGTAAGTACAGAAGACTACTATCGTTCCATCCTCACTGCCTTCTGCAACTCCACTAAAAGAAACATAGGAACTTTGTAAAGTCACAGACTCACAAGGCATGGAAAACAAAAGGGAAGAAATGATAATAAAATTTGTAAGCTAAAAGTCAAACTGATGTTGTCCCATTACTCTTCTCTCGCTGCTGGGACAAATACCTGACATCCAAAATGAAGGAAGGAAAGGTTTATTTAGCTCACAATCAGTGCAGGTTTCAGTCCATACTCAACTGGCTCCAAGGCAGATTGGCACATGGCAGAGGACAACTGTTCATGGCAGCAAAGAGCAAGAAAGCAAAGGGAGGAGTAGCAGCAACAATGGCAACAGAGAGCAAGTCTGTTTCCCATATGTTGCATTCAGGCTATCTCTGCCCCAGAATGGGTGTAGTCCTCACACCCATAATCCCAGTGGATTATGAGTTAATCACAAGCTCTAGAAGTCGGCCCATGACTGTATGAGGCTTTAGGTAGACAACTAGATACAAACTGTAACAGATGTGTCATAAATGACTTAGAAAATCCAGTGTAGCAATGTGGGAATTCTGAGAAGTGCCAAATATGTGTTCTGGAGCTGAGAAGACAGCCACAGCAGGGGCCTGGGAATCCACTGTGCCTATCATGAGGCGGGGCACTTGCTCCATAGAGGACTGGACCATCATTCTGACTGGAGGCAACACTGACACTTTCAGTCTCCCAGCGTTGCCTGCAGTTAAGAGACAGTATGTAGTAATTCTCTAATTCGGGTTATCCTCCTTCCTCAAATATATAATCACTTTGGTAAATGGGCACCTTTGAGAAAGGTTAGGAGAAAGATCAGTATCCAAGGTGTGATCAAAACATATAGGAAACAGTTAAATTTTAAAAATTACCAAGAGACATCCTGCTATTAATGCCCCTCAGAATGCTCCTCCTTACTTTAAATATGTTTATTCCATCATTCTTGCCATTTCCTACAGCAGTTCTGGAAGCCCTCTTTCATGAATTGTCTTTAGTTGCATGGTCATGGCTGCCTTGATGTTCTGAATCAACTTAAAAGGTTTACCTTTCATGATCATTTTGATTCTGGGGAAGATCTAGAAGTCAAAACAGTGGCAGATCTGGTGAATAAGGCGGATGAAGACACTAGAATGTCTTCAGAAGCCTGCCTTTCTATTCCATGATACTCGACAGCCACATTCACCATACTTTTCATCACATCTCGTAAGGACACTCATCAAAGACGTCTTCCAGAACTGCTTCAGAAAGTGGCAAGAATGATGGGCTACATATGTTTTCAAAGTGAGGGGCAAATCACCATTAGCTCATGTCTTTTACTACAATAACTGCTTTTGAATGTGTTTTGATCATTTCTTGTGAAATTTTGACAATATATAGGGCTTTCCTGGAGGAGACCCAAATGCTCATTCACTCAAGGAGTATCCCTACCTGTAAACTGGATAATGATGGTAAATATATTCTCATATGTTTATCTGTAATTCTTGTAGGCAGTGGAACAGGGTGCCAGCAGATGTGCCACACCTCCCCACTGGTGGCCCCTGAGGGCAGGACCCTGTCATCCTTG